GAAGGACAGAAATCTTTATCGTAAACACGATGTCCTTTATCAAGGATATGATTATGCAAGAATCGGGGACGGATTTAAGGAAGGCCTTCACAATTTTTTGTTTTATTTTTAATTCTCCATAAATTTTATATTTTCTTAGATAGTTTTTTACAAATCGTTATAAAAATATAAAATTCGGGAATATTAATAATAACGCGGAATTTTGAAGTTGATAATAATCAAATTAAGCTTTTATATATATATATGCAGGGTGATTCTTGTAACAGGGACAAGTAATAACTTTTTTTTAAGTAACAATAGAAAAAAATCATAAAGGAAAAAGTTATATGGCACAACAAATGTCAACTTTCTATGACCTTTTACCTCAGTAATGTATTTTATTAAAATAAATGTTCGAATGTTTCTCCATTTCATTCTAAACAATTAGATGCGCACATTCTATTGCGCTTTTTTACATTTTTTAATTGATTTGAATTGATATTGGAACAATATATTGTTATACGCTCCTTATATAACTTCAAATATCTCGTAAACTATTGAAATTTCGATGACCTTCACTTAATACTTTTTAACGCAGAATAAAAAAAGGAATCGAATAATGTAAAAAAAAAATATAAAGTTCCATTTAAAACAAAAGTGCAACTGCATCTAGCGGATGCATCGATGCATTTTCAAAAAAAGTAAGGTCATAGAAAGTTGACATTTGTTGTGCCATATAACTTTTTCCTTTATGATCTTTTTCTATTATTACTTAAGGCCGGCCATACATGTAAACGCCTAAATTTTGACCGTTTTTCAGAGGCTTATTTAAAATGGAAGGAATAAATGAATCGTTTTGAAACTTAGCATGTTTATTCATTACATATTAAAATATAAGAATCTGATTTTCTTTTTTTTTCAAAATGGCCGCCCTAGTAACTAATCTCCTGAGGCCTTCGCGGCGAAACGCATCAATCATGGTGATTTTTAGTTTTAGTTACAGCAATCTAAAATTTAAAAAAAGGGTCGGAGCGTGTTCACAAAACATTTATTTTTTAGTTGAACTAAGGAAGAACTAAAAAGTAAAAAAATCGTAAATTGGCACGACTCAGACAAAAAAGTCTGATTTTTAACCCTTTTTTTAACGGTTTTTGGGTCAAAAATGGCAATTTTTGAAAACTTTTGTGGCATTTTTGAAGTTCAACTAGAAGCTAATACCTTAAAGAAAATGTGTGCTAAATTTCATAAGAATCGGTTGAAACCTTTTTGAGTTATCTTTCACCACAGTTTGAAAAAAGTGGTTTCGAGAAAAACGCGTTCAAAGTTTAGCTTTCGCGTCTAGCGCCGAGTTGAGGCGGAACACTTAAATGAATTTTTAATCGATAAATAATGCGAATTTCGTTCTATAAATTTACAGACATATTTTTAAGATGGTAAATTAACTATTTATGAAAGACAAAAAAATTCGATTTTTTTTGTATTTTACACGTATCGCTGGACTTAAAAAAAGTTATTACCCGTCCCTATTAGAAGAATCACCCTGTATACTAGGGTGCTCCGGTCATGCGTTGCTGTGGTTTTGACATAAAACGTTGATTAATTATAATTCTAAATTATTTAATGCAATCAAATTAATATTCACTAATCATTTTTAGGAATTCGAATTAGGTATAAAACAACATAAAATTTTTCATTTTTATTTTTATATATCTCAAATTAGAGTAACATGAATTTTCTAACTTCAAGCCGCAAATGGACATTGTTTGACCTTGAAACTTATTAAATGAGAAGAAAGAAAATATTACTTATACGTTTTTAAATTTATTGTAATGTTTTCATTGAATGTTAAAATCAAGTAATGGCAGGCTTCAATTTCCAACTCATTTTGTTTTCCCGATGACCATAAATAAGTTTTAAGGTGTAACAATGTCCATTTGTGGCTTGGACTTAGAAAATCCATGTTTCTCTCTTGGGCAACTATATGTTGCATGTTCACGTGTGGGGAAACCATCGAAACTATTTGTGTTACCAAAAGACAGAATAACGAAAAATATTGTGCTCCGATTGTCGTTGGATTAAATTAAAATTAATAATTGTTATATATAACTTACAATGATAAAAATAGTCCTTAAAATTGCTAAAAATCAAGGTTATTTACTTATTTTATAAAATTAAATTTTCATTAACTTACAACTTTGCAAATAATGCATGTAATATACAATACTCAAATAAACTATATTTAAATATGAGATAAGTAAAATGTAAAATTAAAAATTTTATGTTAATTTATGCCTCATCTAAATTCCCATAAATTATAAGTGAATATTAATTTGACTGCTTTGATAGTTTAGTATTATATTAAATCGACGTATTATAACAAAGCCACAGAACGCATGGTCGGAGGCACCTAATTTTGTAGTAAATTATAAAAACATACAAAATAATACCACAATTACAATTGAATACATAAAATAATAATACACGAAACCATATAAAAAGCAAGATTAGTTACGTCATATGTAAATCCGAAAGAAACTTGTAATCTGAACAAATTGAAATAATTGAATTGTAATACAGCGCCATCTTTTGAATATTTATAGAACCTAGAGACATAGATAACCTTAAAAATAATAAATTCTTAAATTAGCAATAAAAAATGAAAACTATACTATATTCTAAGTTGGACAAAATTACACATAATAAAAAAAAATTCATTAAGATCGATTGAGTAGTTTCGGTGTTCATCGTGGACATACAATGTGACATTGAATTTTTATACAAATATATAGATATACCTTATAAATAACAATTAATTCAAAATGATCATCATTCGAAGTTATGTCAAATAATTAAGAGAGGGCTACTATTTTTAGGGGAGGGTATTAATAAATAATAATTATTCAAAGATGATCATCATTCGAAATTATATGAAATAATTAAAAGATATTCACCACTTTCTAAGGGGAGGACTCTGGTTAGAGACATAAACATAAGCCACGTTTACGTTTGTTCGAACAACCATGAATGAAGCTTCGATCTTTATTTCGTTGAAGGATACCGATACGAAAGATACGAATCGCGTGGGCTCCTCTCTTCTTCGGTCGCGTTTCGAGGCTTCGTTTTCTGGAATTAGGCCATGGTTTCCAAGTCATCGACATTACTTTCCATTCGAGACGCCGCAATTCACTACTCTCCCTGCGTCCTACGATATATAAACTTATGTATATACGTAATTTATGTATTTATGTATTTACTTGTGCTACGTGAATTGCCTTAGAACCTACCCTTCGAGTACGAAGACTTCTTCAACGATTCAACGCTTTGGTACGTCGATCGAAAAACAATTTAAGAACTCTTATATTTCGTTTTTATGTATCTGTCTACTTAAATCGTAAAACTACGGTTACAGTTGATACATATTTTGTCCCATAATATTTTTATGATTTAGTCAGAATGATCAATGCATCAACGTTATGAAAGTTATTGGCCCATTTCAGTTGTTGCATTTAAAATTAGTTAACAATTAAAAAATATCGAAAAAAATCGTGTGAACTGGACCAATTGTCGTATCGTTAATTGCATTTTTTTTCTCTTGTTCTAAACGATCTCATTTTTTATTAAAAAGAAATTATATTATTTTGTGTGTGTACCTAGGTAACGTAGAAGAGATTACTTTAAGATCGGATGGAAAAAGGAAAGGAAGCGTCTTTTACGTGCCTATCATAAATTTTGATCTATACATTAGGGATTACGCGATCTAAAAAAAAAAAAACTAACATATTCGGCTCGCATCGGCGTCATGACTCGAATTTTAATTTTCCATGGGAAAAGATACACCTTCGAAGGTTTCAAATCTTTAGAAAGAAAGAAAGAAAAAAGAAACCAAAAAAACCCGTCTACGTAAACGAGGAAAAGTTGATCGATTTTGTTATCCAATGGAGGATACTTCCAGTATTTTTATTTTTTTTTTATATTTTTAATATATATATTTTACACATTAAATTAATTTTTTCGTAAGTCAAATTGTAGAGCAAAAAGATTAATTTTACTTGCAAAAGGGTAAATTTGCTTTGCAAAAAGGTGGATTTGACTTGCAAAAGGTTGAATTTGACTTACAAAAGGGTATATTTGACTTGCAAAAAGGTAAATTTGACTTGAAAAAGGGTTAATTTAACTTGCAAAAGGGTTAATTTAACTTGCAAAAGGATGAATTTGACTTGCAAAAGACTGAATTTGACTTGTAAAAGTATAAATTTGACTTGAAAAATTTATGGTTTATTTATACCAATCTAATACCTAAGATTTTTACACTTGTTATATCTAAGACTATTGTTTAGCATTGATGATATTTTGATAATGATAATAAAGATGGTTTCTTATTTTATTCGTATTTTAAAAATCTAAGGTATCGTAACAACACAAGAAATAAAATCAAAATATTCATTTATATAAAGCGAAATAAATTCTGTTGTCGACAATTTTAAACGCATATGTAAAAATATTTGTGAGACAATTGTTAGGCAAATTTCACAAGTACTTTCTCTAGTAAAGGAACAATTAAAGATGAACAGTGAAGTTGAAGCTAGGGGTGGGGAATGTGGGGGGCGTACTGTCGTCAGACCAGAAATCCGGGATACCGAATTAGCAGCGATGAGACATAGGCAAATCGAAGAAAACGTTTCTGGGAGTGCAACGAAGAGCACCAGAGGAAGAAATCCCAAGAAAATGGATTCCTTTTGTTTTTCTTTCTAATTGAATCGAGCATTCGCGTTTATCTTTGGTCAACGTGATATGGAAATGATTTGTTCAACGATTTAGTTAAAAGCTTGTAGAAATAGCAAGCGAGTGAAAGCTAATCTTTTTCTCTTACATACGACAATTAGTAACATTTGTTTATCCAATCACTTTCTTGGATTTCTATAAAGTATTAGAAATCGAATGAATAATATTATAAGCAAAAGACATTTCTTTACAACAAATTTATCTTAACATTGTTCTAATTTATTTTGTTTATTTTGCAGATAGAAAATGTGAACCAATTAAGAAGATATAAAAGAAAGATATCACGGAAATGGCGTTGACGATCGTACCCTCGGCCGGCGTTTTTAATGGAAACGGTGAGCCCCATCGATCGTGTATACCATGTACTACAGGAATATTTTTATTAAATTACATTGTAAATTTGAAATAATTATTGTAATATTTGCAAGTATAATGCAAAATTTCTAAATTTGTATTTACAGAAATCTATTAGAGAATTATTTATCCTATTAAATTGATATCAGTTGGATTACAGAAATACATTTAAATAATCACAATTGTTTTTAATCTCATAAAAGTAATTTGTACCTATATAAGATATAATAAAAATACAATTATTATTATTATAATATACTATTTTATAATTACTTTTGAAATGATTAGGATTCTGTTGGTATTCTGTTGATACCAATTTAGTTACCATTTATGATAAAAGTAAACTTTTTTTTTATAATAAAAATACTCTTCAATAATAAAATTGATATTAATTAAAAAAATATAATAATTCTAAAATATACTTTTATATATAATAATTTAGTAATATTGTATTACAAGAAAATATTGATTGTTTTACAATTGACACTATTAGGGGTACGAATACTCCTAAGACTCACTGTATATACTCTATCTTATTTATTATCATAATTAGCGTAGAATCGTTTAGGATAAGTTTTGTATATTTTTCGCGATGGCAGAAACGAGACACGAGGGACACGTAAACGTGATCCCCGTATTCTCTCGGCTAACGAACTTTGCCAGATTATTATTACCATGGATCTGGATGTTGGCCAATGGTTACAACATATTTCGCTTTAGACTGACCGTCGGCCGTTAACCTCGAAGAAACTCCTCTCCTTTGACGTAAACATCGAGCTTAACCCTTTACAAAAGTTCATGTAAAAAGTTGAAAGTTATACATACTTATAAACGGTGTCAGATGTTTTTCTGTTCAAACGTTGTCAGCGTATTCTATGCATAAGAACAAGACAGTAATATTACATGAAAATAAATTGATAGGTCTTTATTAACAAATTATAACATAAATTGTAAAACTGTTTATATGTATCATTCGAAATGTTACCCGGTTATGCTAATACGATTGGCACTGATTCAGTATGCTGTTTTTGACATGACAATTGTTTTTGTAGATTTCTATTAATTTCTACAACTACATCCCTAATTCGTTTTCTACTATGACATGAAATGTATACGTAAATGAATAACATTTTGAACAGTACATTTAAATAGTTTTACAATTTATGTTATAGTTGCTTAGCCCTTTGCACTTCTTAATTTCATATTTAAACATTTTCAATGATTTTAAAAATTGTGTTGCATAATGTCAAGTCTAGCTCGACATTAAAGTTGATGCAAGAAGTGTGACGTTGAGTCATACTATACATATGAATAGTAAGAGTTAATAATCCTTTAAACGATCTATGTTTATACAATAATTTCGTTTTATTTTTGGACATAGAAATTTGTAATAACAATTGTACAAATTATTGTACACAGAAAATGTAGATAGAATTACATGTTCTATGTATGAAATCATATCATGAATTTGTACATGTTCCATAACGTTTTTACAGAAAACGTCAGACATCATGCATACCTGTAGTTAAAAAATATTATTTCATTCGGGCTGAAGAAATTCGTTAATGATTTTATGTTCGAGCATTTTTTTTTTGACTTATCTTCCATACGAATAAAATCAGTTGATATTTTTAGTTGCAGGCACGCAGGCTTACGTTTCCGGCTCAAAATGTCTCTGTTGTCCATACGGTTATCACATAGATCTCGACTTCGTGCGATATTGCGAAGCAGTTGCAGCTGGAAGTACCGGAGACAGATCGAGCATCGAAAGACGAAAAAAACGAGAACGAAGAAGACAATGTCAATCGATGGAAGTTCTCTTAGGCCTGGTAATTCCAATAATTTATTTCAAAAGATCGATCGATATCTTTTATATCTTTTATATTTTATATATATATATATATATATAAGTACATTTTAAATTTATTTTAAATTTTAAAATATCAACCAATAAGACGTGTAACAAATGTACATTGACAACTATGTAATAATTATGTGTTAAAGATTTAGGTTTATAGTTATTAATAAATGCCGATTTAGAGCGTATGTATTAAAATAAACGATGAATAAGCGAGAGGCGAGTAAACTAACGATGACAAAAAGATGATGAGAGATGTAAAAGGAAAGAGAGAGAGAATAAGGGAAAAGGAGAAGGAGAGTTGAATTATTAAGGCTGAACGACACAACCAGGTCGTGTTCTATTTTCTTGTTTTTATTTGTTAACATTAGGTGAGTCCGGCTCTAGCGGGAATAGAGACCGAATCGCCAGAAATATCACGAGAATGTTCAACGGCAGCCACGTTGGCGTCGTCTAATACTACAACGAAGAACTCCGATGGTTCTAGCACAATACCAAGATCGAGTCATCATCGGCATCGTCAACGCAACCAAGATAACAGAAACGAGTCAACAAATTTAGATTTGAGCGATGTTGTAGGGGACTTTGAGGCCACCTTGAAACGTTCATCAGGATCAACGAGAATTCGAGAAGATCGTACCGAGATCGGTAAGAATTGATTTGATTTTTTAAACGATTTTTTTTTTTTTTAACTTTTATTTAATATCGCGTAATCGCAATTTTTAACATATTTAGCTTTTCTATGTACAGGGTGTCTAAAGTTGTTTTTCTTACACACGTTGCGAGCGTTATTCTACGCTCAAAAATAAGACAATATTGATCTACAAATATAATAAAATTGTTTAAATGTGCCTTTAAAGATGCCTATGTTGTGTTTATTATTTTGGCGTGATTGTCGCTTGTATCACTTGACTTCATCTCAAAAGATTTTTATTCCTAGAAGAAATTATATCAAGAAGTTGATATCTACATTTGAGATTATGGTAGAACGAGAATTAAGGATACAACTGTAGAAATTAATAAAAATGCATAAGAAATTCGTCATATCAGAAACAACATATTACAGCGGTGTCAAATTTGTATTCGCATAAGTGGGGCAACATTTTGAATAATACATTTAAATATTTGTACAATTTATATTATAATTTTTGATTGTAGAATAATGCTCATAATGTATCTACGAAAAAAACCTCAGACACTCTCTATATAATAACAAAATTAGAAAATTAGTTGGATTTGTTCGAATAAGGAAGGATGTCGTACCGAAAGAAAGTAGATCGATTCTTACGGTGAAAGAAGAGAAAAGAGAGTAAGAAAGAAAAAGAGAAAGAGAGAGAGAGAGAGAAAAATAAGAGATTTAATAATTTCACGCATATTTGATTTCTTCGTTCTGAATCCTCTCTAGTCGTACGCGCCATCTTGAAATCTTAAAACAGCTCAAATAATTTGCTACATAAATAAAATAATATTTTAGTGAAAAATACATACCATTTCTAAGGATGTAATTTTGTAAAAAAAAAAGAAGAAAAAAGAAAAGATAAAATTCCTCGGTTGGAGTTATAATACATGCGATCGAATAAAATTCATGCGAATTTCACTCTCACAACGTTGTCGTTGAAAGGCAAGAATCGCAAATCACCGTTTTCTCACGAAGCTGTATAACGAAACCGAGTTCCTCTCCTTTGGTACGAAGAAAGAGAGGTAATTCGAATAGCTCCTTCTAACGTTTCCTCTTTTTTCACCTACCCCCTCTACTCCTCTCCATCCCCCGCCTGACTCTTTTTTCCTTTCAACATGCACAACTCTCCTCTTCTTCTTTCTTATCGCGTATCATCGGACAATGGAATTGCAGCGAGGATAGGAACGCTTTTAGATATTCGTGAGGCATCCAATTAAAACAGAGCTGTGAAACTTCCGTCGATTTAACGGTGCTTTCGCAAGGCAGATTGTTGGGAAATAAGAGTAGTCTAACTCTCTTTTTAACCTGACATTTTTCGAGCGAGTTTTTATTCTTTACAATCTGAAACTATTATTACAGTTCTAAGTTTTACTTTAGAAGATTATTAAATTATGATACCTATATTAATATAATTATTTATACTGTTTGTCTTTTTTAATTAACCCCTTTTGCACTCCTTAATTTCAGATTTAAACAAGAGAGTTTCTCTTTTAATTATTTTATTAATTACGTTGTATAATGTCGAATCTAGTTTGATTTTAAAGTATTTATTAGAAATTTAATGTCAAGTGTAATTCGACACAGAAATTGATAAGGGTTTATTTTTATTTAATTAAGGGTTTATTCTATTTAGTTAGAACTTAACTATTTAGTTAATATTCTATTTAGCTGATTTCTGAAGTTACTTATGTAGTTGTAGTTTCTATAGAATCCTAACCTTTTATTTTAACGAATTGTACTTTAAATTATTTTTTAAACCCCAAAGTATAAGAATATAAAGAAAATATCGATTTTTATGACCAGACAAATTTTAATACCCTTTTAAACCTTTGATCATGGTAGACTTTGAAATGTACCATATGGTAGGAATTTAGTCACGACCTATACCGAAAACTTCTCATTAGGATTAAATAATAAAACCATCCTGGATGTGAAATTAAATTATTAACGGTAGTATTAGAAATTTATTTACAATTGCTTTTAAGGAAAACTTATATGAGAATTTTGAAGAAGAACAAAGTAAGGATAAAAGGAAGTCGATAAAAAATGGAGGTAATGTCGAACCGAGTTCAGGAACTCTTGGCACGGGAAAGAGTCGTCGGTGCGTGGCTGGAACCACCTGTTTCCTGTACGTTCCAACTAACGCGCGCTTCCAGGGCCTCCCCGTGTTTCCATCAGGAGCACCTGTGCGCACTAACTCATGACTTCTCACCGTATATTATCATCCGTATGTTTCTTCCGAAGAAGTTTAACCGATTTATGTCCCTAACAATAAGATTATAAAAGACAACCGATTATCGATCTTACTCTATTAACTTAATTTACTTACCTTTCAATCATCATCATCTTTGTAATTATAATTACAATATTGTAGCTTGACTAATAAGTAATGACTAATAATACTAATAAGTTTTGTTTTATTTTTCAAATAAAATTTGTCTGAAAATTGACACGAGATTCTAACGTGTAATTTAAAATTATAGTTCATTGTTTTTTAATCAAGTTTTGTAGTTTTATCTGTACAAATTACAATTAGCTTCCGACGTTTTTTCTATAAGCTATCTATAGAAGCACATTTGTACAGCTATTATTTATTTGGATTGACAGATGAACAATAAGTAGATGTATTTTCGTATTTTATGTATATTCATTTTTTGTTGCATAATTATTCAATTTAGCAGTGTCAGATTTTTATTTATTTCTTTTGTTACAAAATTCGTAGAATCCTTATTGCTCCCTATGCCAAGTGTGGTCGGACTAAACTCGACATTATACAACGTAATTTCTTAAATAATTTAAAATATTTCAATCTGAAATAAAGGAGTATAAAGGTTTATTGAAAAAATAGTGGCTTAGAAAATGCATATTTATGAATTTCTTATAGAAAAAGATAACAAATTTTGGATGGGTGATATTATGAAGCAAACTATGAAATAGCAAAAAATTATAGAACAAAATAGTTAATATATAATTTAAATAAATTGTCCAAGATTAATAATGATTAATGTGTTACACCTACATAAATTAGAAGAACACACGTTTTCAGTAAATGCATCAATGATATTTATGCGAAGTTAAAAGGTTAAGGCATTAGAACAAAACGAAAAACTAAACCATCCCAACCCCGATTTGGAATGGATCGTTACGTGACTTTATCAGGTATGCCTTAAACCGTTTTCATAAAACCTTGCCACTTGTCTTGCATATGGCGCGAAGCACCTGTCGACCAAACAAACCGTTGTAAACACAACACCATTATTTTCTTCTTCAACTGTCTCTAATGTCATTTATTTATTTTTTCATTTTTTTATTCAATCTTCATTTTTAATAATTTTCGTCATTTTTGAAATAATAAGATTAGTTAAATTTTCGTTATATAATATTTGTTCAAAGACAAACAAACAAAATTTGTTTGCGCTAGCCTAGAATTTTTAATATCACTTTTAAACGTCAGCATAAAGCAAATAAATCTTTGTAACTTAAGATAACGTAGTAAATAGAGATAAACTTCGGAGAAAATCATCGTAAATAAATGAAGAAAGTAATTATAAAATATAGAAAAAGTATATTATAATGATTAAAGAGCTTAGCATGTAGCTAATATTTAGATCGAATTCGATAATGAGATAAATGTTAAGATATTATCAGAACAAAATCATGGAATCGTATAAATATAATATAAAAAGATATTTGTTCCATTCTCTACGAGTACGATTAATTAATAAAGAAAAGTCGGTGGGGTTGGTATCGCAATGGGAAAAAGTACAGAAGAGAAAAGACCTCCTCCTCCTCCTCCTTCTATTCCTCCTCTTGTCCCCCCTTGCCCCCTTCTACCAATCGTTTCTCCTCCTCCACATTGGCACGAGTCCGCGCGCGAGCGTTCACCATCGTATCCGGAGACTCTTCCTTGGCCTATAGTCTTCGACTTTAGCTTGGGCTGCCAGTCAAACCGAAACTGTCTATCGTTGTGGTTAGACAGAACTTGCCCCTATAAACAATTTTTCCAATGCGGGATAAATATGCGGTCTCGAACAAAATTTGATCATAACTTGTCGGGAATACAAAACAATTCGTTTGTATATTTCATTTGATTTGAATATATTTCGAAATAAAGATGGGACACCTATATAGTGTTGTGCAGTGAAGAGAAAAAACAACATAGTGTAATAATATAAAGGATTATTTGAAAATATAATAATAATAACGCAAGAAGAATTACGTTATTATGAAAGTAATCGATCAGGAATCTTAGGAGATAAGATACTTCTTGATTTTTATTCGAATCTTTAAAAATTTACTGTTGTTTATTTTATCTCGAACAAGAGTGGGACGTTAATAGTGTTAGTGCAGTGAAAATAATAATCGACGGTGTAAATAATTGAGGATTACTTAAAAATATATATATGTATATATATGTGTACATGTATGTAGGGAAAAACCCCTTAATAGCGTAGGTATTATTATAGTCGTTAAAATGGGGATGAAGAACTTTTTGATGAAGCGGATACCTTTCTGCAAATTAAAAATCAAACGTAAATATCGTAAGTATTATTTTTATCGAGATATGTGTGCGTTAGTTTTTGTTCTCACCATCAAAGAATATAAAATTTATGTGTTTTGCTTATACGAGTACTTAGAATGTGTGTGAGTACGCTTTCGCGAAGAAATTAAGTTCGAAACGGACCAACGAGCGAGTTATTTATAAGTCGACCGAATATCGACTTCTCTTACTCTCTTCCCAGTGATTATTAATAATCGGTATTTTGCGTCTACAAAATGAGAACATTATTTTTTATTTTATTATATTCGATTATTACATAATCTTAACCGTGATTTATTTTGTTTTATTTTATTTTTTTCAAATTTAATTAATATCCCAGCAATGATTTATTTCTTTTTGTCAAAAAATCTCTCTGTTAATTTAGTTAAACTTTTAATACGCAATTTAATTTAATCTTTCTCGTCTTTTATTTTTTTCTTTTTTTTTCTTTTTATGATATATAATTAGTTCGGGTCTCGCCTCTGATTTATTTTTTATATTTTGATTTTTGTTGAACTAGTCCAGCTAGAGTACACAACAACGAGTCCAATTAACTTAGGCCGTTATCTAAAAGTCCAAATAAGCTGAATTCATTATCGTTGCGTCAAACGTGTTATCCGAAGGCGCATCGTTTCGCTTCTAGAACTCGAACGACCTCGAATCTTTCTTTTTCTCTCTCTTTCTCCCTCATTCTCTTTCTTGAATTTTTTTTCTCTTTCTTTTTCTACTCTGGTTGGATAGTACGACTCGAATAGGCAATCGATCGTAACTCGACGTGATCTTTGCATCGAATTGCACTTGATTTTAATTCAGAACAATGTTTAAATGGACTGATTAAATATTAACTTCATTTATATACAGATAAATTTGTTTATTAATCAAATATTTGTCACGATAAAAACATGACCTTTGTTTATGAGTTCAATTTGATATAAATCATTGCGATAAATATTATCATTAATTTTATCAATTTGTATTGTTATTGGATCGAATAGAAATCATAATATGTTATAATTAAAAAAAAAGGTTTATAACAATTGATCACATATAAATGAAGTATCATTTTATTATTTTACGAACCAACTTTAATAAAATAACATTAATAAGACGAATTTAAATGTCGATTATAAATCTTCTTTTCCGTTGCGCTTTCCCGCGCTTTTTCTATTAAGAATTACGATTCGAATAGGTTACATATATACATTTCTTTTATTCCGCTTACTGGGCCGTATACACATAACTTGTAGTATGCACAGTGAGAGCAGTTGTGCATTGTTCCACAGCAAACATATGTATGTAAGTACATAAATAAGTACATACATATGTGTACAATGTAAATGCATGTTATACGATAACGCGGTGTACTTTGATGCGAATCGCGTGCCGCGAATCCATTCGAACGCAGCATTTCTTATATTTTTTTTCTACTTTCCTCTATAGTTATTCAAATGAAATAAAACGATTAAAATAAATGCAATGCATATTGTAATGTGTTACATAAAAGTGTAATTAAAAAATTCTAATCTTTCGAGTATCTTTAACCCTAATCATTCTTACGTCAAACCTGACTCGACATTATATAACGCACTTTTTAAAATCAATTTTAAATATTTCAATTTGAAATTAAGAAGTGACAAAAGGGTTATTAATACATAACAGTGGTCTAGCAACTAAGCTAATTTTTGACGATTAAATATACTTTGTTTTTAAAATATAAATAAAAAACTATTCTTTTTAAATTTGTCATTATAGATGGAACAACGAAGACAACATCGGTGTATACGACAACGCGAACGAGTGATCTTGACGATGGCAGCATCGGAAATGGTAACTCTAATCTCAGCACTGGTGCTCTTCAGGTAAAAAGTTAACAAAACATACTAACTCTATATAATATGATTTTATGTCTCGTTTTTCTTCTACTTATTTATTCTCAATTTTTTTTTTTTTTTTAAAGGAATAAATTATATTTTATATTTTTTTTTTTTTTTTTTTTAAATATTATTAGAACATTCGAGAGCAGATGGCAGCTTCTTTGGAAAGAATGAAAGAGTTGGAGGAACAGGTCAAGGCAATTCCCATGCTAGAGGTAATTTTTCATATCCACCTTCTATTCCTTTCATAAGGATGGTTTAACCCGTTAACCCTTTCTAATGTCATAACTTTGAAGGCATGTATTAATATTGCAAGAGTTTTTTGTCGGAACATTCATTGTTAGATTCAAAGGTTAATACGTTCTAAGTTCAAATTATCTTCAGTATATTTAGTATACTGTTCTAATAATCTCAGCTATTACTATACTATACTGTATATGTTATTAAATCAATTATTGCTAATTATTAATTCCCATAATATTAGATGATTGCAATCAAATGAAAAATATAACTTATTTACATTAAAAATAATATTTATTAATCAATAATGTGCTCCCCATCATTTTCTATAACGTTCTTTTTGGCAATTACCTATAATGAAATTATTATATCTTAAATATAATAACAAAGTATCATAGATAAGTTCGAATATTTATTTTCATAATGGGACAGGTGCAACTGTCGGTACTGAAAGAAGAAAAGAGGAATCTCCTACAACGAGTTGAAGAGCTTAGTAAAAAGAATTCCAAGGAGGAAAAGAAAAAAGAGGTGGAGGTGAAAATGGTGAGGAAGGAGCAAGAGCAGGAGGAGGAAGAGGAGAAAACTCCGAAGAGATATCGGAGCCAGTCATTCTCGGAAGAACGGAATTCTTGGCGAGAGCCGAGAAAGAACAGTGAATATCGTGGTGGATGTTGGTGGTATGGTGGCGTCAATTCGAGGCTTACCAGGGATACCGGAACGATGTGCGTCGCTATGACGCGGGACGTCGGTGTTTCGCATCAGCAGGTTATTTTATCTTTTCTTTTATATTTTTACAGCCCAATAAATGTCACAGGACGCTTTTATTCTTATCAATTATGTCTTGTTGAAAAAATTGTAGATCCGAACGCGAGACGTAGGCATGCTAACGAGTACACCAATAAAACCATCCCTAGGTAGAAGCCGAATCCGTGTCGAAGAAATTGTACCTGATTTGAATGACTCGAGTGCATCAATGACATCTACTAAACTTCACTCGAGTGACTTCAGCAACACTTGGAAACGAAACGACTTAACTCGTAGTCAAGGAATCGAAGATTCCTTCGAAATGAAGATCGATAAACAATATAGATTAAATTCACTTCAAATTAATGCGAATTCATTAAATAGTAACAATAATAATAATAGTAGTAAGATCGACGGGGATAACAAAATACTTCGAAAAATTCGTGAATTTGGTACCAATACCGAAAATCCGTTGAAAAGATTAGAACCTGCGCGATTTCTAATCGAAGATATTGCACCGGTTATTGAGAAAAAGATTGAGAAACGATCATTCGGCACTAGTACAAATTTAACCATGAAGGATGTCCTCACGAACGAGGACGTAACCATAATCGTCGATGATGCTTTAAGAATTTATAAAAACACGGTTTTAAAGAAGACATCGAACAGGGGAACGCAATGTATGCCTGAAGTGAAAAAGATCATTGAGAAACGAGATCAACGGGTGCAAACGAATGAAGTTTTTAAATTGAAATCAAATATTGGCGTTACTGCCAAACCAAGAAGTTCGGATATTGGATTAGAAGTTAAAGTTAATGCCGATACGAGGAGTATAGCTGTTGGTCCAGATCCTCTTTCGGTTCGTCATCTTTCTTTAAACTCGATGAACTCCAGAAGCCATTCATTTAATTATGGAGACCCTATGAGTAAAAGAAAAACAACGATGAAATCTGTCGGTGTGATGGTCGAGGATCTCGTCAAAACGTCAAGCAAATGCATAGGCACTGAAGGTTTGGCACCAAAAATGAAAGAATTTGGTACATCGCCTATAAAGAAGAAGTTTACCGACGTTTCTGTCGGTGACTCGATCAAACCACATATTTTAATAACTTGCAGTACCAATTATTGCGATAATTGCAAGGAGACTATTAAAATTTTAGCCAAACAAATCACGAATAACGTTGAGAATAACATGAATCATCAAAATGCTAATCTCGTTTCAAGGATACCAAGGCCTTCTCACATCGCTCTTAATAATTCTGATCATAAAAAATTCAAAAGACAGGATACTTATACGAAGATACCTGCTATGGGAATTATTCGCTACGATTCGGATAATAAGGAACAATATGACAGTAGTAATCGGTTAGTATACTTACTACTTAATATATACTCTATATAGAATATATAAATATTATAATATATATATATATATAATATTATTATGATAATTCATCTTAATTAGGGTCGATGATACGCTTCTAAAAACTGTTAAGACAAAACTATGGATTTTTACAATTTATAATAATTTATATACATATCGAATTAATACAGATGAAAATTTCAATGATAAAATAATTGTATGCGCTTATACTTTTCAGTACGTTTTATACAGACATTGGAAGATTTATTTTAACGAGAATAGATTAATTGTAATCATTAATTAATACTCATTGTCAGTCAATTTATTTCGTATTCAATACATACTTCTTATAAATTATCGAATTAAAATCAATTCTTGAACGAGCTTATGTCGATTATCAGACATCACTGCATTAGAGCGCCACCCAACGGCGGTTTCCGAAAACGTCAATCGAGTATAACAGGGGAACGTCAAAACGCGCGTCTTCATTTACTAAAAGTGAACTGTTTCGTTATTAGTGAAGAATTCGTTTAAAATCAGCAATCGTTATTACATTTAATATCAAATAAATATAAATTGAGTGAAATTGATATCATAAAAATATTAGTCATGTTCGGGAATATTCTTGATTTCGTATTCCTTTGTTGTGTCCTTGATAGGTTGTGCAAGTAAACTTGTTTTCGTTCTAAATTCGGTATCGATGCTGCATTCTCAGCAGCATCAACTACAAGACTCTGGTTGCTCGGTTAACGGAACTAATATTTCACGGTGTAGTTTCGTTCACAATGGGTATTACTCTCTCATATATTCATTTAACATATAGTACTAATAACCTATGTATAATATTAATCGATTATTAATATATGTTTTTTTATTTTTGTATGTTTTTCTTATTGTATGTTTGATAGTCTTCGACAACTGGAAACGGAGAAGGAAAGAAATGAGAAATCCATGTCGGAAGACATATCTCAGGATCAGCCCGAAAAAGGGGTAGAAAATGAAGAAAAACAAGAGCTGCCTGAATCGGCTCTCTTTCAGCCTATCCAGGATGATCCAAGAAAGAAAGTGGAACCGTCCAAAGAAATGCAAGCCGCTATGAAAGTGCTCAATGATAGCTTTAAGAAATCACCTAGTAGAAACATTTCCCATCAAATTAAAAATGCCACCAATATAATACAACAAGAGTGGTTTAAAATATCTAGCACAGTTAATGCCAATCCCTTAGACGTGGAAGATTATTTGGATTGTTTTGAAGAATATTCCGGTACATTGCTAGAGTATATTGTAAATATGACTGATTCTAGCGGCAACACTGCTATGCATTATGCTGTTTCTCATGGAAACTTTGACGTAGTTTCCATACTATTAGATTCTAAAGTGTGCGATATCAATAAAGCAAATGTAGCTGGATACACTGCGGTAATGTTAGCTGCTTTAGCAGAAGTCAAAAATACTACTCATGCTTCTGTAGCGAACAGACTCTTCCAGCTTGCCGATGTCAATATTAGAGCTAAATTGGTAAATATTTATTTACAATACTTTAAGATAATACTCTAACAATCTATTTACTCTTTGATTTATGTTTCCTAGCATGGACAAACTGCGTTAATGTTGGCAGTGTCTCATGGAAGGAAGGATATGACACAATTATTATTAGATGCCGGAGCTGCGGTTAATATTCAAGATGAAGATGGTAGTACGGCTTTAATGTGTGCAGCTGAACATGGGCATACGGATATAGTACGAACACTTTTAGCTCATCCAGAGTGCGATTCGTCGATTGTCGATATAGATGGTAGCTCTGCGTTAAAAATTGCTTTGGAAGCTGGTAATAGAGATATCGGTGTTTTGCTTTACGCTCATGAGCACGTTAATAGAGGTTCTAGCCCGTATTCGTCTATAAGACGAAGTAGAAGAGGTTCCAAACCAACTACGCCCACTGGTCCTTCTCCTTCAGCTCCTGTAAGTCCAGCACCATCCCGAAGGATGCATTCATCCACAGTTTCCCTCAACACTTCCAAATATTCTGCTAAATAACAGAGGAGCATATGGAGGCTGTTAACAAAGTTTGGTAAAAAAAAAGATTAAAATATTTATCTTGTTAATCGTCTCAAAAATACAAAATGAGTAATATGCGGTAGAAAGAGAGAGAGAGAGAGAGAGAGAGAGGTTGGATTCTTCAAATTAAAATATAATATTCATTCTTGCCTAACAAGAATCTCATTACTATCAGTACTTTATTCAGGTGTGTTGTAACATAATAACGAATTTAAATAAAAGCTCAACTTTTGTAAATATCTATATTTAGGAGTGGTTGAGCTATTTATTTTATTGCGATTGAAATTTTTAGAAATCTGATTGTCGCACTCTTTTCCAAGCGCGGTCGATTGATAAATCAATTCTTTTCTACAAATAGTTAATAAAACCTTATGCAAGAATAAGTTTTCATATCAAATTTTACAATATTTTATAAAAACAATCCGGGAACATATATATAAGTAGAGAGAAAAAGGGAGAATATCGGATTTAACGTGTTAGCAAAATTAAAGGGAGAAAATTGCAAACAAAAATATCAAGTACAAAATATTCCTCAGTACAGAGCTAAAAAACTTAAAAAAGAGATATTAAAAAATATAAAAAATTATCTTCCATCAAGTTATAACTCTAAACATTCCAAAATTGTCGATTAGAAAAAACAATTCACATTTTTTTCATGGAAATCTTTCTTTTTACCATACTTTCTACTTTAATCATCATATTCTTTAGGCCTAATCATTATAGATCCTTGGAAACTTAAATGTATAATAATAATATTAATTATTATAATATTAATAATGAAGGTAAAAAAAACTAAAAAGTGATAAAAATAATAATAAAAGTAAGAATAATAAATGGTGCAGAGAACAAAAAAGTAAAGATTTTAAAAAAACGTGTACAAAAAAACCTCGCGTGTAGAAAAAACGTTGATAGGGTATTAACTTGTCTAAGTGTATTTAATTCATAAAGAAAATTTATACACATATACTATAAAACAAACACACAATACACTTTTAAGAAAAAAAAAACTATGAATAATCTATAAAATGTGTATAGTAAAAAATAAGAGGGTTTTGCGTAAATTTAGATGGTTGATCAGTCAGTAATAACATGATATGACTGAAACGATTTATTTGTAGACTTGTGAATAAATGGATACGTTTTAAAATAATTTCATTAACGTTTATCCTATAATGGAGGTTCTTTTTTTCTTGTTAAGAATCTATTTTACAAGATCGGCATTTATATTATATATATATATACATTCAAAGATGTAATATCCTTGTGTCTGTCAACTGTGGAGATTGTATAAAATAATGATCTACGTTACATAGTAGCAAGATATTTTTTATTGTTTGTGCCTTTATATTTAAAATATAATTGATAATAAATTTTCAAAATGATTTGAGAAATCTACTGTGGACAAAGCTTGTTATTTAGGATAAGATTATGATAATTAAAAAGAAAAAACAACGGAAACAGTTATATGGAAAGAAATACGGTAAGAGTTTAAGTGTAAACTATTTTTTATTTCGAATCTTACAATTATGTCATAGTAATGTGTAGTAATAAATATACAATTGTAATGACGCGATTACGAGCGAAGACGCTGTAACATTCTTTTTTCTTTTTCCTTTTATTTTTTGGTATTTATTCCGATGATTTTATATATAATTGCGTATACAAGTACAGGATGATACCAAACATTTTAATAACATTGTGTTGTTTTTTAACAAACAAATAGATACAACAGTTATTTTGAATCATCCTATACATTTATATTATGTCTATGCAAAAAGGTGTGTGTGTATTCGTCTGCTGTGTTATAATTTTCAATTAATTTTGTTTTATATATATATATATATATATATATATATATTTCTTTTGTTTACAGTGTTTCTTCACTCGGCGCAAAAATTACAAAAATTAGAAATACCTTGTTCCTGCCCTCGGACAGTTGATTTTTTGTTTATTTATTTATGTGTTTAAACGTGACTAGTAATATTTTTATTTTTATTACTTTGTATATATAGTAGATTCTTTTTTTATCTGCCAGGATCGCGCCATTTATGTTCAAGGCTGCTCATTTATCTAAGGCAGTTTTTTTTTCTATTTCCTAAATTAATTTATTTAATTTGTTTCATAAATAACTATATAATCAACTTGTTGATGACACTCCCACGAAACTTTAAGTTAATTTTCCTTTCTTGTAAAATTTTGTTTTAATATTGCAATATATTTTATTAATTATCTCGAGGAGATAAAATTCTTAATCGATCGATTGACGTTCGTACACTTTCTTTTTAACGTTCTAATTACTTTTCTTTTCTTTTCTTTTTTTTCCTTTCCCTTTAAAGATGTCACCTTTTTTATTTTTTAGACCGGTATATATGTATAGATTTTATACTTTAAATTTGCCCTTTTGCAAATCAAATTCATCCTTTTGCCTTGCTATTTAACTTACAAAATAACGAATTTCATTTACAAAAAGGTGAATTTAAAGTGCAAAATCTATATATAGCATAATCGATCAATGAACATCTATAGATCGGATCGAGATTATTCGTAATAGTTTATCTAGCGTGACGTTGCGAGGATACATGCAGGGTAAGCAGTAAAATATAAGAAAAACTTTTGCTCTTTTTTTTTCTAAGTCCTTGGGTTTATCTCCATAAAGAGAGGGACCCACTGATATATATACATATATATGATATACTATATATATATATTATTTAGTTTCGTAATATAACAACAATAACAGAATATACAAAGAAAATAAACAATAAAAATATTTTATTTTGTATACATTGATATCTAACAAACAAGACAATATTATTATAATGCTTCTTATATATATAGTACCACTTTGCTCTCTCTCTCGACTATTTGAAAAAACTCTTAGCTTATTACTTGATTCTCATTTAAATATAACTTTTTTAATAACGTGTATGTGTATGTGTGTGTGTGTATACATGTATATATATATGTCTTTTGCTTTTTGACTAGTTTCTTATTTAAATCAAGTCGAAAGAAAGAGAGGGAGAGAGAGAGATTTAGAAACTTGTAGCTTATTCATCTTCGATCATTAATCAGGTTTTTTATCTTATTATTTTTATTAGAAAGAAGAACGATATATATATGTACATAGATATATTTTATACATATATATATATATATATATATATATATATATATATATATATTTTTTTTTTTTNTTTTTTTTTTTCTTTTTATTAATCAATTCGCTACAATTATCGATCATCATCAAAGCTTTTTTTAATATAAGCCTAAGGAGAAGGAAAATCTCTCAACTTTTTCACTCTCGTCACTTTTATTTTATTTATTTATTTATTTATTTTTTATTTTCAATTATTATTATTATTATTATTATTATTCATTTATGTATATTTAAATGTTATATAGTACAAAGTATTTTTGTTCATCATCATAGGAAGAGGAAAATGTATTAGTTTTGTTCGATGACATATTCTTATTTATTTATTTTTTTTATTTTCTCTCTTTTTTCGTTACCCTATTACGAACGTTCGTATGCAGTAAAACGATGTACTATTGACTTTTCGGCCCTAAACGGTAAATGTGTGTGTATGTTAGTATAATATATATATATATATATTATATTTTATGAACCTAAATTAACGATTATTTTTTTTGTTTTATCGCTTAAGGATATTGAAACTTCCGAGGTATGTGATATATATATATATATATATATATAATCGTAAAAATCTAAAGATCTATCTAATCTAAAAAATCTAAAATAAAAAAATATAATATTGTAAAAAATCTAAAGATCTATGGTTGATCTTTTTATCCTTTCTTATAAAAAAAAAGGAATATCGAACTCCTATAATTATATATAATTATAGAAGATCAATAGATTAGAATCAAAGATCTTTAGATTTTTTACGAAGATGACACCACGGGCGACGAGGTAGAATAACGAACAAAATAAGTACAAATTTATTAATTAATGAACTTTTCGACAAAATAATACCCTCAAGCACTACTATGTGTATTCTCAGAGCATATGTCTATGTAAAGAGAGAGAGGGAAACAGAGGAGAAAGAGAGGAGAGAGAGAGAGAGAGAGAGGGAGAGAAAGAGAAACAGAGATAGAGATAGAGATAGAAAAAGATTTATATTTTTCGTTAGAAAAGAAAAGAAAAGAAATGAAAATATGAAGCTCGTTTAAATAATGATTTGCAAACATTTAAAGTTATTTGTAGATTTTCTCTTTAAAATATTTCATATTTATTATTATTATTATTATTATTATTATTATTATTATTATTATTATTATTATTATTATTAGTATTATTATTATCGTTTATTTATATTTTTGGTTTATTCTTATCAGACCCATTACAATAATTTTTTTTATACAGAGGTCAACGAATTATTATTTTTTAATGTTGCTTCATTTTATATTTCTTTCTTCCTTTCTTACTTTTATAATATTTTTCATTCGCTCATAATTATCTACATGTACGGTATTTTACATTGATTATATATTTTGTGGTTGTTGTTGTTAATGTTTTGTCTGCTTTTTTTTTTATTTTTGGAACAATCGGATTACTTCGACACTATCGAACAAACGTAGGTAACTATTACCATTTAATAATTCGTAGGATCTATTTTTTTATAGTTTTATTGAAAATAATTCAACATTTTGTTTAATTGTAAATATGCATGTATCATGTATGAGAAGTAGCGTTACATACTAAAGAGTTTTTCTCTCATCTTTTTATATTTTTCATTGGTATTGTTTCGTAGAAATTCGTTCTTCTTTATAATTGTAAATACGAATGAAATAGGATTTTTCATGGAATATTTATCTAGCTTTCTTTATCTTTTTGGCAGCTTTTCTTAGTACACCAATGATCATCTCTGTTCATTTGTTAAAATAAAAATAGCTAATTTGTATTGCGTATATATTTGATTTATTTTTGTAAAATTACTCTTTTTTTTCTAAATAGTTTCTTTTACAACAATTGTAAATAAAGTTATTCTTCGATCGAGCAGGAAGAACAATATCGTATAATGTTCGTCAAGAAATAAATTATTCATTAATAATAATAATGAATATTTAACATTGTCAACTTTTCTTTTATATACCAAAAAACAAATTGGAAAAAAAAAGAAAAGAAAAAATAGCGCGAATGTACGACCGGCAACGAGTCTAAACAAAACCAGGATATACGTATCTATATATATACATCCTTTTTTTATTTAAAACACGTTACATATAACAATAATTTAAAACTAGATGAATTTTCTACGCTTTTTTTTCTAAGCGTCTTGTTAAACGTTACCACTTTCTAGAGCATTTAGCGATCTTAAAACTATGCGGATCGAGGATACGCACAGTGACGGATCAAGTCAAGTTAGAAAAAGTTCCAATTTAGTTATTAACAAAACAAAAAAAAGAAAAGTAATCAAAAATTTCACGCTTTAACGCATTAAATATAAATTTATTTAAAAATATATATATATATATATATATATATATATATATATATAATTTTTCTCTAACCGTAATGAAAAGAAATAATCAACTTTCGGGACCTTTTGGTATTTCGGACCGTTTAATCCGCCACTGGTTATGCATATGGTATTGGTATATAGAAATCGT